AGCCCTACCGGCGGGACCAGGGCGCAGAAGGGAAGAGGAGACCAGTCCTGAAACGTATCCCAATTAAAAACCTTTAATTATAAAGGAGATTGTTGCTTTATATTCACATGGATCGGATAAAGTTTGGGGAAAAAAAAAATAAGTGTTATATAGGAACAATAATGCCAACTTGTTTTTCTTCTTTCTTTCATTCCTTTCTTTCTTTTCCTTGTTAGTTCCTTTGGCTCTTCATAAACCTTCCTAGACTTTTAAAAGTTGGAGGAAAGTGTTTTGGTGTTGTTTTTTGTGTGTATGTGTGTGTGAGCCACTGAGTTTTCAATCCAGATTGATTTCTAAGATCACTTAGATTGAATCACTTACTTTCTGTTTGCTGAGGAACAATTTCTCAACTGTGCCTGCACATCGATCAAGAGCCATTTACTTTGGAGCTGCCTGCTGAAACAAAGGTGGTTTTACAGAGGTTGATAGAAATTAAAAGCTCAGTTTGCAGTTAGAGGTGGGAAACAGTGAGTATCTTATAATTTTTCTTAGTCTTTGAAATAGACAAAAGTTGGTCAGCTGGTTGAAGTCTGTTTTTAATGTTGCACTGTTTTTCTCTTTTAATTTTAGCCAAGTATGTTGCAAATTCTGTTGTAGCTTAGACAGTAAACACCTGTATTATACTGCCAGGCTGTAAACTGAAGATGTGAATAAAAACTTCTTTCTTACTCTATTACAAGGTTACATCTGATTAGCACACAGCCTACCCGGCTGTCTCGTTCCTCCCTTCCTCAAAAAACAATGATAAGAGAACTTGATATTTTTTTACCAGAAGATTAATTTTGTTGTCCTTAGTCACTTATGCTCTCCGTATTTGGAGATCAGCTATTAGAGTGTACAATTCTTCTTTATTCCCAGATTTTGTACTTGTCTTTGTTATTTGCCCTAATTTAAGGTTTTTCAGTTTCTATAGGAGTCGAATGACTCTTGGTAATTTTATCAAAATCTGTTTGCCTTCTCTTCAGCTTTGGACCCACAGGATATTGCATGCTATATTCCTGGCTATATGCTAGAAGCGCTCAGAGATTTCGACAGGAAAGATGGAACTGTCTGCAAAAAGGCAAAGTTTTACTGATGCAGATGCTTGCTGAAATGTAAGTAAAATGTCCTTGATGTCTCGATGTGGATATATGCCATTAGGCGGTTGCAGTCTAGCTGTTCATTTGATTGCTGCTCTATAAAAGCAGCAGCTCTGTCACATATGACATGAAAGTTTTCCTATTCAACAGCTCATTGTACGCGACCAGGGATATTTGAACGAGTGAATGCCCCGCCGTAGTTGCCGTAGAGCGGCAGTGCTCGCTGCTCTCGGTAGGATTTGTGGTTATTAAACAGGAGGTGGCGCTTTGGTCCCTTCCTTGACGCAGCAGAAGGGCCCGGGAGCCACGCACTGATGGCAGAGGTCAGTAATCCAATTTCCCAAGGCTTGTTTCATAATGAGAACTCATAATTCTTCCTGTCATTCCGTTGTTTAATAGATGCATCTTTTAAGTGACACTCAGGGCTGGCTTTTAGAGCAGGAGACTAATTAAGTACTATGTGCATGAAACTGATAATATCTCAGGGACTTACAGATTATGTACTTGCTGGAGACTATTAGAAGAGCAGAATTTTGCACACCATGTCATTGCACAGCTATCTGTCTCTCGTGCTCCATAAAAACATGGTGACAGAACTACTGAAGACCAGTGAAAAAACAAAAATTACGTCCATCACACAGATGAGTTGTGTAGGTGAAGTTACATCAATAGGATTAAATTTTTCAAAGTTAAAATCTTCAAATGTACAGCTGTTGTTCACTAAAATCTAATGTAAATGGTATTTATAAATATTGAATAGTCTTACTGGTAGGGAGAACTTTATCTGTTGACAGACGTTTTAGCATCCAGAGCTGAAAATGTAACCAACTTATACATGATCTGAAGCAGTTTCCTTATTAAAATTCTATCAAACTATCCTTTTTAATCTGTTTTAAAATCATCTCTGACCACAAGTTGTTGCCTAATTTTAGGCTGAGAAGCTTGATTTCATAAGAATTTCTTATCTAGAGTTATGTGACTCCTAGCTTTGCTTGTTATACATGTCTGCCAGGACATCATTAAGCTTAGAGCTTGGAAACCATGTGACCCTAAAATGCAAGGGAAACCATTTGTACTTGATTTACACCAGGAGTGAAGAATAAATCCTCTCAAGCTGTGGCCGAGTTGCAAAAGACAGGAGATTGCTTGTCAGAGATGAGAAATGTTACATTGAAATGTGTATCAACAATGCGACACAGATATTGAGTTCTCAAGAATGGGGTTACTTTTATTTTTAGGAGGATTCTTCAAACTTTTAATTGCAGGCAAACTTTTTCCAATATTCTTCTTATCATGTCTCTGATGACAGCAGCCCATGTTTTTAAAGAAATCTCATTCTTTGCTATTAAAAATGTAATTAGCAGGTGTTTGCCATATTTTTGTAAGTGTTTAGAAAAGAATTGTGAAAGTTTTTGATCTGATATTCTTGGGTATATTCCCAACAGCATATTCAATGAACCATTGAACTGTGTCATCCTCCTGTGATTCTTCTGTGAGATAGGACAAATATGTACAATCTATAAATGCTGTAAATACATTACTAATATGTAGATGCTTGCAAAATTTCAATAATCAAAATAATGACTGGAAGAGTGTATATAACTTCAGTAGACAGTGACTCAGGGATCTTATTCTGACTGTAACTTTTTGCATTTCTAAGAGAGTCTTCATTGCAGGTATATTCCTAGCCTGAGAGGTTAGTAGTGTGTAGATCTTTGTTAGTGGGAAGTCTTTAGATGCAATTGAACTGTGGAGCCAAATAATCAGCACAGCTGCTTGTGACAGGTACAAAGCTATCAAATACTTGTCCATAGACTGTATTGTATTTATTTTTTGTTCGTTGTACAGCAAAATCTTAGGGTAGATAGGTAGCAAAGCTTCTGTTCTTTTGTATGTTTTTAGGGGCTTTGATATAACTTCTGTCCACTCTAGTGTCTTTTTTTTTTTGGTCTTAGTGTACTAGGATTGCAGAATTTTGTGAACAGAAATTCTGGAATAAAATGGCAAATATTTGAAAAAAAATGGTTTGAATATTAAGCAGGGATGAGATATTTCTTAATCTAATAGAAGAGGTGCTAAACTGGGGGGATAAATACTTGTAAGTGAACAGGACGTGAGAAATTGCTTGCGTAAAGAGGAAGCTTTAGCCTGATTGTGATTGCTCTGCATAGCACGGCTATTCCTGATGTAGCTGTTGTGTAGAGATGGCGCAGTGCTGGAGGTAAGAGACAGATCCGTTTAGGGAATGTGAGAGGGAGAATTAGCAAG